ATAAATACATGACATAGCATAGCATGTATTTCAGAAATTTTAAAATTATTGGAAAATGTCTAGCTAGTTATTTTTCAGATTTACAGAGCATGTTTTCATAGGGCTGTTGCGATAGGAAACCTGTGAGCATTCACTATGTTAGTTAGTCGCGACAGAGATGCAGAAGTTTCCCACATGCATGCCGCCATCAGTGAGCGGCCTCAGAATAGAAAACAGAATTGTACAGTCTGCTAGAAGTGCATGTGGATAAGGACTGTACCCAGAAAGAATTTCAGAATATGCTCACATGGCCAGGGTTCCAAATTCATGCCTCAGCCTAGTCTGATCAGCAAACCAAAACAGAATACAGAAAGAGAAAAAGAAAAAGAAAGAAAAATAGAATAAGAAATAGAAAACATAAAGAATTTCATAAAGAAAGGAAAGGAATTTATGAAAGAATTAGAAAAGAAGATTAAGAAAGAACACAAATATGATCATTTGCATATGCATCAGACATTTTATGTGCGTTGCATTTTATGCGTTTATGCATAGATTAAAGAGTCTATTTTATTATTGTGTGTCTAACTAGCCAAGAAAAGAAAATAGAAGCTCATAAAAATAGAGAAAAAAAGAAAATAGAAGCCCATGAAAATAGAGAAGAAAAGAAAATAGGAGCCTACGAGAATAAAAAAGAAATTAGATATATGCTAGAAAAGAATAGAAATTAGAAACATGACAAATATCAAGGAAACTTAGCGATTTGTTAAGTAGAGAAAGAAACAGAAAGATATAATCTAGCAGAGAAGAGAAATAAAACGATAAAGAATAGCACAACATTAGAAAGATTTAGAAAGATTTGAAAAAATAGAAGACTGCTAAGTAGTACGCCTGAGAATAAAGAGAGAAAGCAGGCAGAAATTTAGAAGCAGTACAGCAAAAACGAGGACAGCGGAGTAAGAGCATAGTTAGATTTGATTTACTTACTGAGCATTTATGCTCACCTCGTTGCTTTCTTTACTTTTTATAGGTATTAGATTGTAGCGGTCGGGAGATGTCAAGCTGGCAATAGGGTTGCACACACTGTCTCAGTGAAGGAATTAATGTGGATTTATGTATGTATTTTTGGTAGTAATAATATTTAGAGAACATCTTCACGCTTTCCAGTTCATTAGAAAAGGATTCTTATTATTTTTATATATGTGAGAAATAGTCATTGTGTAATAGTATTTTATAACTGGATTAAGGATAAAAATTTTAGACGAATACCCTTTTTAAGCTAGCAATTCTCTGGATTCTCTCTATAGGATACTTAGTGAATACTTGCCTAGTGAGAGATTACAAAGAAATGTAATTTCTTACTTTTCTATGGATTTGATTTATGTTATTCTGTTTTAATGGAATATGATATTTGATTCATTTAATATACTTTAAGCCTGGTAGATTGATTGAATTGATATCGATTGCTAGAATTAGAGATTGTATTGCATAATCGATCTTTTCCTAATCACGTAGTAGTAATTAGTAATAGAAGATTGTGGATAAACTTTCTATTTTATTACTTGAATAACAAAACCTAAGTTTAATAATCCGAGCTTGTGAGGTTGTTGCTTAGATTAACCTATTTCATTGGAACTTAAAGCAACCATTACATTAAATCTAGAGAGCTTGTTCTAGGTTGTCTAATGGTTAGAGACTATTGAAGAGCATGTTTCATTAGTTAGAATTAAGGGGAATTTCGGGTAGTAGAGCTTGTTACTGCCTAGGGTTGATACTTCCATGAAAGGTTAGGATTGCATTGCAATTGAGAATATACATTGATTGTGAGGATGAGATTGAACTGAGAACAGAAGTTGTTTTTATATTGATTTTCATTCATAATTTTGTTTTGGTAATTAATTACTTTCCTTGATTTTACAAACCCTCCGCTTATATTTTGGTTATTTAAGCCAATTTGGTTATCTAGGATTTAATTTTAAAAAGTTGGAAGCTAGATTCACCAACTTCCTTGTGGGATCGACCTTTACTCACGCTATCTACTAGTTAATAATTAGGAGTAAGGTTTATTAATTTTGTAGTGTTAATGACACACTGTTACCAAACTTCCCCATTTTAGCGCTTGGTGTCCACTCTGGTAAACATTTGGGTATTCTACGGTTTCTACCATCTGTAAAGGGATGACAACCAAGGGGGATTCAAACCCTGAGTAATCTACCTCGTAAGACAACTCAAAAGAAGACTCTAAGGGTCTACCCATGATCGACATACTATCACCAACCCTAAGAGCTCCTAAAAAGATTACCAGGACTCTTTACCCTAGGTTTTCAAAACTTTCCGATAACTCAACCGAATGTAACCCAAAAAACACTTCCTACTTATCCTACCAGATACCCATAACCCATCATGACTGTAAAAACACTAGAAAAGTAAGAAAAAAAGAGTAAAAGGGCAAGCGACTTTTACCTCACAGTCGTTGGAAAAAGGTACTCTAGAGAAGATAAACAACGTTCACATCAACATAATGGAAGAGCTAAATTTTTTGGAGAGGAAAAACAAAACTTTTCCAATAAAAATTCTTAAGTTTTTCAAACTTAGGGCAAACTTAGGGTTTCACGGTGAAAAGGTGATGTTTGCCTTTTATAAGCAAAATTTGGGTGGGAATGAATCTCTGATCATTGATCTCAACCACGTGTCATCGATCCACGGAAAGAGTAACCCCCACGTTTCGCCAGAAATCAACCAATGACAACTCCCATCGAGAATTGCAATCACTAGCGTAATCATCTCAATTGCATTAAATGCGCCCCAAGGAATACTTTATTGCTGTACCAGCTGTCAATGCAACAAAAAACATCTAAAGAGATCGTTCAAAAGAGGCATTAGGAAAGATCGCCAAAAGCAAACACCAACTCAAATTTTTATCAAAAGCTTTGCCATGGAAGAATCCAAGTTTTTTAGATCGTTGGCAGCAACTAGAGTTCAAAGTAATTCCAGAAGTCTTGAAGCACGATCAGGCTCAGATTGTCAATTCTCAATAAATCATCAACTCCAAATCGTCTTCTAGCTCTCAAATTGCAAGTGACGATCAGCCATCAATTCATGAATCGAGACAAGTCTTTCAGATCACATATAGCGATCAACTTTCAAATCTCGAATGACTAGCCTCAGATTGTCTCCAACAATGTGGTCACCCCCAACTTCCAGATCGGGTGTACATTTCCAAGACCAGTCAATTTAAATCACAGCATAGTCATGAAGTTCTCAAAATCCAACTTTGAATCTCAAGAACTGAGGAGCTTTTATTATGCCTAAAAATAAGGGCTGACATGTGATGATGTCATCAAGCACCAATCAGAATCCAACCAACCATTATACCATCCAAAGATTGACACTTTTCCAAAGGCAAAAGGAATATAGCTATGAAAAACCCAAACTGCCTTAAGAATTTGTGCCAGAGTGAATTTGGTTCGCACACCTGTCCAAGCCCTATTTAATTTAAGGATAACATAAGAGTTCTCAATGAATAGGAAGACAAGAAGGATCTTCACGACATCAGACCACTTGTAAAATGTAATCATTACCTTGAGCAAAATGGCTATAAATAGGCAACTCGCCCTTATAAAATAGAGGTTAGACACACACGAATTTTCACAAAGAAAATAGCAAAGATACACTACTAGAAAGAGACTGGCTTAACATTCTCTTAGAACACAAACATTAGTAACCATAGATTGCAAATCGCGACCTCTTGTAACCTTATGTAACGATAAAAAAGTTCCATTTGTATAAACAACCACAGTGGATGTAGGATTCGCTTTAAGCATCTGAACCACTATAAAAATCTTCTTGTCACATTTATTTTACGTATTTGCATGCTACTGTTATCACAGTATCTCACCCATTCACTATAATCTGCCCACGTGTGACTTTTTAGCATTTTACACATGCGAAGTCGATGGTGTCAAAATCCAAGCATCAACAATTTCGAATTTGTATTCTAACTTTTACGATGAATTTTTCATTTAATGAATACAAGTGTATTTTATCTTCATATGCCTTAGCCATCAGTGGTGTACACCAATATTCTGAGAACCGGATCGGACCGGCCGGGTTTTGTTCAAGACTCCAGTTTACTAATACAATAAAACCGGATTTGTTATTTAGACCGTTTTCTACCGCTATTGGACTAGTGGAACAGTGTTAGACCGTCGGTCCAATCGGCTCGATAGCAAATTCGGTCTACTAAATCAAAATGCCTAAAACCATTTTACCCCATCCCTTCTTCATTCGGCATTTTCAACTTCAAAATAGCAAAATCTAATATGACGAAAGAGAAGAGGACGGGGGAAAGAGAGAGAAAAAAAAAATGAAGGAGAAGAAGAAAAAGAAGATGACGGGGATAAATGAGAGAAAGAATAAAAATGGAGAAGAAGAAGCAGAAGAAGAAGAAGAAGAAGAAAGAGAAGATGACGGGGAAAAAGAGAGAGAAAAAATAAAAATGAAGGAGAAGAATAAGAAGAAGAAAAAGAAGATGATGAGGAGAAAGAGAGAAAAAATAAAAATGAAGGAGAAAAAGAAAGAGAAGATGACGGGGGAGAAAGAGAGAAACAAAAAAGGTGAAGGAGAAGAAGAAGAAGAAAGAGAACATGAGGTGACAAGTGACAAGAAGAAACAAGAAAGAGAAGATGAGGTTATATATATATATATATATAATTGCTGATGTCATTGGTATGCTCCATCATTGGCCAGACCGGTTGGACCGTTCAAACCAGAAACTGGCCACTTGGTCGAGTCACCTTCCAATCCAGGTTTTAAAACATTAGTTTGTACTTTATTTGATCGCATCCAACATAACGGCGGTAAGAAAAATTTTGGAAATAGTAAGGGGGTAATTGGTCACTAAGAAACCTCAAAGTTGGCACGAAAGTAATATTGCAAAAATTTAGGGAAGTTTACGAAAAAGATCCCATTTTTTTTACGTCAATACTGGGCTGTTGTAAACAAGAGATACCACCGTAGAAAATTTCAATAGAAAGCCGAGTCGAGTCGAGTCCTCAACAGATCGTTCGCCCTAAATCAACGTATTCGCAATTCAAAATGGTACGTAATTTCTCAAATGATCCAATCTGTTCATGTTATTTGTTTCTCCATCAAAATTTGATCGAATGTTTCTGAATTCTTGTTATTAGGTTTGTATTGCTTGTTTATTGCCGCTTTTCTTGGTCCCAATTGTCAACTTGCTGCCCCTACTCTTTGATCTTATCATGGTAAGTGAGAGAGTGAGACTCCTAGAGATTTTCCTTTCTCATTTATTTGGTCTTTTAGTGATTTAATTAAATTATGAATTGATGGATGAATTTTCAGGGAAAAATTTATGGAATGTTGGGGTGGGAGTATAGGAAACCTGAGAGGGCTCCTCCTGTGTGTCCCTATAAGCCTGCAGCCAAACAAGATAATAACCCTAACAAAGTGAGTCAGCTTGATTTTATGTTTTATTCTTTTATGTGCTTAATTTTCTTTTTTGCGAAGATATTAATCCATGACCCTCTGATTGATCCTATTAAAAAAATCATATGATCTTTTGGCTATTTTTTACTTAGATTTTGTGTTTAATAAGTGTAAATGGTTAAATGACAATGACTTACATATAGCATTTTTTGTTCAAGATGTTATTATTGACAAATTGTTGTAAGTGAGCCAGAGAAAGTTTGTATTTCAAATATTCAAAATTCACATTGGAAGAGAATAAGTTTGAGAGTTTTTATGTACAAGACCTCTCTAAGAGTGTCGTTAACAAAGAAACCAATATAAGAGTGTCGTTAACAAAGAAACCAATATAAGAGTGTCGTTAACAAAGAAACCAATACAGCTCTCATGTGCACTAAGTAAGTGGCTCAAACCCAAATTTATAAATTGATCAAGCAATCACTTAATTGGGTGTGTGCACATGATCACTTACATCCAAAAGGACGGTGCAAATCCACCCAAAAGCGGTTTCAATTCAAATACATATGCCCCAGAAACAATAATGAATTAATTGTGAATTTGAGCCAAGTACATATCTGCATACGAGGTATATTTGGCTGAATTTGCACCCCTCTTAGGGCAAGTTATCTCATGCATGCACTTGATTAATTCATTTCTTGATCAATTTTTATATTAGACTGAGTCCTTGGTTCCGTGGGAGCCCATTAGGCGTCTTTGTTACCATACTCTTGGAGAGGGCTATTTTATACCACTCCTTGTGTTTCTCTCTTCTAATGTGGGATTGGGTATATTTGAGATGGGAACAGATTCCTTCACTTGTTAACAACAATACTTGTATTTTTGCAATGGGTAAATTTATATCTTGTAATAGTGTATTTGTTATACTACAAGTAGCTATAGAGATAGGTGGAGTACTAACATATTATGTTTAAGGTGTTCTTTTATGTTGTAATATTTTACAACATTTGTTTTGTGCAAACCAGGCCGTTGGTTGATGTGCACTTAGTGACCTTAATTTGATTGTATATTGATTTATGGTGTTTGTGTTCAATCAGTTAACAGATTTTGTGGCCTGACTTTTATGATGAAGCCAAACTTTTTGAAATGTTTCACAATTGTGGTTTAGAGTTGTGAATTGGGTCACTAGCAACTTAGCTTTGGTACAATAACTTGTAGCTCGTAAGAGCATTCCATGAAGAGGGACAAATGAGAAGGATAAAATAAAAGGAAAAAAAAATAGTAATGTTTGTCCTTTCAAGGCATTAGATGCAATTGGATTCAGTAGGCTCCTATCATATCCCTGTCCTTTTAAAATCTCTTATTGGTAAGATACGCTTTAACATGTAGACACACATTAACAAAATCCTATTCTATTTTATTTTTGCTTAAAACCATAAAGAACCAAAATGAATATGTTTATTCCGATGGATATGGTAATAGTCACTTGCATGGTTATAAGTCGCAATAATCCTGTTTCCTGTCTAATTGGTAATTATTTGCCTTTATTCAGCATCATTATTGTTCTATTACTACAAAATATATGGTGACCAGACTTGAAATTAGTTATGCTAATTGTATGATCCAAAAGCAGATAAACATGTTTTATTCATATGTTTTATTACAAGAGTGTTTTATGCATAGGAACATACATTCTAACTAATTCCAATGCTCCTCCTTTAAGGATGCAAATGACGGAATTTGAACTCGGATTCTTTCTCTTGTTATTTTTTTGTTTAATTTTTTTAGGATATGGTTATTGTTGTGTTGATATTTAATTTGTAGTTTTTGACTTTTCATGAGCTTATATTGTTTAATGGCATGTATATTGATCTTTCATGCTCAGTCTTTTCCTTCATTGGTATTTTCCTTAGGACATATATACATGTCTTAAAATTAAAATTTAGAACTTACTACCATCCCAATTTTATGTATTTGCATAGCTGTGTGCTATACTACTGAGAAATCACCTATTTTTTGGTTGGTGATATTTATGGCTCATGGACAGCTAGGATGTGTGCATCTATTATTCTTCTTCAAAGTTGCTCAGCATGTTTGTTTTACAGTCACCTTGAATGGTACTAAAGTCCCGTTGTTCATACAGGTCGTGACGGAAGCTAAACCTGGCTTACATGAATCTGTATCCAAACTGGCAGGAACGGCTGATGACAAGCAGGATTGAAGTTCAGAATGAACAAATGTAAACTTGGTCATAAGAATTTTCACTCTCAGGGACCCAGTTGTATGTTCGATGTCCGAAAATTAAAAATTAACATCAGTTTTGAAACCTTTTTAAACTTGGTTGTGACAATTTATAACATTTTTTAGGTGAAAAGCACATTCTGTGTGAGAAAGAATATTGCAGTGGCACCACTTTACATGCTATCTCTTAACTCTGTTGCACTTGTTGATATTCTTTAATGTTAAGTCAATAGTTATTTTAAGTTTTGGTATTTGCTAAGCAATTGGGTAGAGCTCCCCAGGACAATGATGTTCTGGTTCGAACGGATAAGGGACAGATGTAGGTAAAGTTGCCATCTGCGTCAATGTTAAAATTCCTCATTCAGCAACTTCAAACTTGTCTCAAAAATGCTTATCATAATAAAGAATGCTTGTTATGGGTAAGAGTTTTTTACGGGTTTCTTAACTACCAAGTTTGTAAGGCTTAGTTGCTTTTTGTATAGAACTCTGAGGAAGGATTGGGATTGGATATAATCATCTCATAATATTTTGTAAATCTACCAATATATCAAATCAACTGGTTGTCCTAATCTCCAATTTCACCATGAGTGAAGGCATATAGGATATTCCTATGTGAATATGTCATGTTCTGGCAGCTAATCTGCCTACAATGGCGTCCCTCGCATTTTGTTCTAATTTCACTCATGGTGATGGCCTACCTGAAGATGATGATGAAAATTAGATCACCTAAATTTCAACTGCTCTGTCAACCCCCTAGTTAGTAAATACGGGTACGGCAAAAAAACGATACGGGAATTTTACGGGTATAATACGGCAAACGGTGAAAAAATACGTTTATAAAAATTCGGCTATAAAATTCGGATACGGAAAAAATACGGTACGGGTATATACGGGTTTAATACGGTGCATTGTCAATAATACGTTTTGAAAAATACGGCAATATCAATCTTAGTTTTAACACTTTTATGGACTACCTGGTTAAAATCAACATAACATTTCAAATGCAAAGTATTCAACATTTCAAGGGTATTACATAAAAGAACCAGAAATACAAGATACTAAACAGAACATTTTCATCACCATTCAAGCCCAGAGGCACTCTTTTTTCTTTCTGTTTAGCTGGAGATTTCAATAGACTTGACCTCAGGTTTCTTCTCTTCCTGTTTCGGCACAGTCACAGTAAACACACCATTCTCCATGCTAGCCTTGATCTGATCCATCTTAGCATTCTCCGACAACCTGAACCTCCTCGTAAACTTCCCACTGCTCCTCTCAACGCGGTGCCACTTATCATTCTTCTCCTCGTTCTCTTGGCTCCTCTCTCCACTTATCTGAAGAACACTTCCGCCTTCAACCTCGACTTTCACTTCCTCCTTCTTTAGCCCTGGAAGATCAGCCTGGAAGACGTGAGCTTCCGGGGTCTCCTTCCAGTCAATTCTGGTGTTGGCAATGGCTGAGGTATCGCGTGCAGATGAGAGTGCATTAGCAACTGTGGTGGTGAATGGGAAGCCTTCAAAAGGATCCCAATTGTCAAGAGAGAAAGGGTCGAACACGTTGCTCCTGCGGCCACCGAAAAGACCTAGAGCCATTGTGTAATTTCTAAGTTTTTCGTTTGTGTATTATAAATTCTTGCTTTATTGATGAAACTGATTGTACTAAGTACGACTATATATAGCAAGCAAAAGAGGAGTCTGGTACATTCACGGCTTTCTTAGGAAATCTTTATCTAAACAGAGAAACGGAGAGAGTTCTGTAAGCTTCTACAGTTTTCTTTTTTCGTGTCTCTGCAACACGCCAACACCGAAACACTAGTGCCATCACTCATCTTCTCGAGTCGGTTGCTTAAAGCTGAAAACGTGAAGATTTGAGGAAGAAAAGCTGAAGAAGAACTGAAGTAAGGAAGAACCGAAGAAGAACTGAAGAACTGAAGACCGAGATCTGCTTTAATTTTTAGTTAAAAACCCACTAAACGACGTCGTTTTGGGGGTGACTTTTTTTTTTTTCAATAATTCGCGAATAATTCGCGAATTATTCGCGAATTATACGGGAGGGCTTAAAATACGCGTATAATTCGGCAGAATTTACAAAATTCGTATACGTGCGTTTTATACGCGAATTATACGGCTGTCCGTATAATTCGCGTATAATACGCGTTTTTACTAACTAGGGTCAACCCTCTGCCAAAGACTTTTTGGTTATGTCAAACCTCAATATGCAGTTCATAAATCATTCTACGATTAATTCAGGTTGATTTGGTTTTGATTTCAAACCCCAACCAACCACACTATTACTTAATAAATAAATCAACATCAGTTAAAGAAGTTGATTAAAAATCCCATCAAAGAGCTCCAATCTATTGACCAATAAGTCAAACAAATTTGTTAACCTAAATTCGAAACAATCAGACATTTGACTTGACAAACAACTAATAAAATATTTATATATCTATATAATCATGAAGCAATTGCTATTTAAACATCATATATGACTTTATAATTACTATAAGTGTCAGCATGTTATTGGTTTAGACTATAATTACTACACGTGTCAACCTGTTATTGGTCTGGGCTATTGGTATAACTACATACGTTCAATGTTTTGTAGAAACATTTTACATTCACATTAAATGTTTGATGGTTACACTTTTGTTTAATGTTTGATTGCATAAATATAAACACTTTACATTCATATTTATTGTTTTATGTTTCATTGTTTTTGATGAATTTAGTTTGATGCTATTTTGTATAACTACATGCATTCAATGTTTTGTAGAAGCACTTCACATTCACATTAAATGTTTTGATGGTTATACGATTTGTTTAATGTTTAATTGGATAAATATAAACACTTCACATTCATATTTATTGTCTTAATTTAGAGTGAACTACTTTTTTCCACCCAAATAATGACTTAATGACACTTTCCCACCCGTAGACTTTTAAAATACCACTTTACTATCCAAATTTATATTTCAATGGCGAGCAGAGAATAAACTCGGTCCAGGCTGTTAGAGCTTTTGAAGAGGGGAGGCCGATGAGTCTTTTAGTGGTGGAAGGTTAGATTTTGGTGGTTGGGATTGATCGAAATTTGACTTGGGAGCGACGGCTATACAAACCCTAATTGCTCGGTTTGCGGCGATTGGCAAGGTCGATAGGAGTTGGGTTTGAGGGGTTTTGGTGAGTGATGACTGGGAAAGAGAATGGTGATAGTGTGGGGTCGTAATGATACCGGAATCGGAAACGGAATATAAATTTAGATAATAAAATGGTAATTCAAAAGTCTGTAGGTGAAAAAGTGTCATTCAGTCATTATTTGGGTGGGAAAAAGTCATTTACTCTTTAATTTAGTTTGATTCATTGATTTTGTTTAATTGAATGTGCAGGGGTGAATTTATATTAACAGTTTGTTATATAATTTATTTGAAGAAAGAGAGGTAGTCAATTTTTAATTCTTATTTGTGATTGTTTTCTTTTGGTTTTTCTAGTTTGTTGTTAAACCTTTTATTCTGTTTTCATGTAGTTATACACTTTTGGTTGGAACATAATATAGTTGGAAATTACGTGCTGTTGAAGGTCATGTATTCATTTGACTACGCTTCTTTAATTGCTTGAAATTTATTCACTATTGTATTGTCGTATTCTTGTTCAATTGTTTCTCATGTTTGCTATGTAGTTATTTTTAAAAGGCTATGTAAGTTATTGTATGGTTTTGACTATTTCATTGTTTTAGTCCAAATGGTGAATCGTACATCCTCTTACAGAATTGTCAGATCAATTTGCTGAACCAATAATTTTGTTATTCAATTATAACAAGTTATAAGAAGATATAGGCAGACCATTCCGAACAATTTATTTATCAACTGCTGTACTGAAAAAATCTATGTGGCGAACAATTATGATCAATGGTTGTGTTGCTATTTGCTGATGCATGTGCCGAACCATTTTAATCATAATTTTGTTAATGACTGTACTCTATAATTGTAGTCACTAACCATTCTATTTTTATTGTAAGAGTCAAAATGCAAAGCTATTTAGATTGTATAGTACAATTACAATAGACCATTTGCCAAACATTATCCATTAACAATTGTAATATTGTAATGTACTTTTTAGTTAATACCATATGAAAAGTTTTTCATGTTGTTCATCATAATTGCTGCAAGCAAGTTGTTGAACACAATATGGAAATAAATATATCAAAGGAAGATTGTACTACGGAATTACAAGAGATCAGATGCCGAACCATTATTCATTATATTATAGAATTGTAACAGTCAATAGCGAATTAGTCATAACTTGCTCAATAAAACTCCAATTGACGAGCGGATTGAATATTTAGAAACTAGATAGACAGAGCCTTACTTTGATATATTATACACTAAATTTGGATAACTATAGTACCATTGCCAAACCATTCATTTTATCATCACACATATTTCAATTTCCCCTGTTTCTCGGTTTCCACTGAATAGTAAGTTATAAATTGGTCATAACTTGCTCAATAAAACTCCAATTGACAAGCGGTTTGAGTATTTGGAAAATAGATAGATAGGGATTTAATTTGATATTTTAATTTGCTGAATTTGGATAACTGTAGACCCACTTCCAAACCATTCATTTTATTATCACACACATTTTGGTTTCCCCTGTTTCTCGGTTTTCACTGAACAACCAGTAGTAAATTGGCCATAACTTGCTCAATAAAAATTCAATTGATAAACAAATTGAATATTTGAAAACTAGATAGATAGGGCTTTAATTTGATATATTATATTCTGAATTTGGATAATTGTAAACCCACTGCCAAACCATCCCGTTTCTCAGTTTCCACTGAACAGTCAGTAGTAAATTGATCATAATTTGCTGAATAAAAATCCAATTGACAAACGGTTTAATTATTTGAAAACTAGACAGACAAGACTTTAATTTGATATATTATATGCTGAATTTGTATAACTATAGGCCCAATGAAGAACCATTTATTTTATTATCACACATATTTCGGTTTCTCCTGTTTCTCGGTTTCCACTTAACAGTCAATAGTAAATTGATCATAACTTGCTCAATAAAAATCCAATTGACGAAGGGTTTGAATATTTAGAAACTATACTGACAAGGCTTTAATTTAATATATTATACGCTAAATATGGATAACTGTAGACACACTACCAAACCATTCATTTTATCATCATACACATTTCAATTTCCTCTGTTTCTCAATTTCCACTAAACAGTCAGTAGTA